ACATGAGTAATGTCCGCGCCCGTCTTTCCCTCCCGAATCAGTATTCATGAGTCACTGGGAACGTTTTGCTGTCTCTCTCTTTGCATTTATCTCAGTAGTTGTGTCATTTGATTGCTAATGTGTTTGAATGGAGCTGCTTGATTTTAATTCAATCTGGCACCTGGTCACGGAGCACTAAATTTTCTCTCAATGGCCATTCGTTAAATGTTGGTGGGCCCTGAAGGCTCTCCCACCAATGAGATTTCAGCCTTTATTGCTTTGTGCAGCCCATCCATTCTTGGTTCAATGGCAGCCTAGATTACAGAGACCCAAGTTCAGAGACTCACAGGTGCTGACACGGATTACCTGGCAGGATGTGTTCTCTTCTACACCACCCCGGTGGATTCTGATATATATTCCTTTCACGTAACAAGTAGTTCACCCACTGAGGGAAAAGTGTCATTGAAGCTCATGTGTCTTGGTGGCATGGTTCTTTAATGTCAGACTTTTGCTCCTCAAAATCTTTAGATTTAAAATGAACAGAACCATCTGACATACGAAAATTGCATCTGTTTTGAAACCTAAAAGCTCTCAATCATTATTTGTGTATTATTCTGCAATATGATACTGCTTAGAAGTGTGTGTGTATATGTACAAGCTCCTTAGCTTTCAATGCCAAATACCCAATTCCCAAACACAGAAGTTAGAGCTTCTTAGTGTATGTCAGCTCTCTGACCACATGCTAAACACGGTTTACAGGGACATGGAGCTTAACATGTTCTACAACTCATTCCTTTTGATGAGGAGTGCCTTCTTTCAAGTAAGTGGTGAGTCATGGGGATGTGTAGAGGCAGAACTTCTTTCTTACACATAATACTGGTTTGCTTCCAGGACTAGCCAGATTTCTAGAAAATAAAAAGCCTGGGAAAACAGGAAACCATCCCTTAAGACCAGAATGAAGAAGGCAGGGCATGGAGAGATTACAGCTATGGGCTGGGCAAACCTAACAGCAGCAATGTGCTGGCCTCACCTTCCCCAAGCAGCACTTCACTTCTACAAAGGCATTGGACAGGGTGCTCTATTCCCTGCCTCGGAAAGGAAGAAAAAGTTATAGATTTTTTTTTTTGTTTGCTTCAAAGCAATCTTCAGAGGAGGCAATTGTTACCCCCACATCAATATTTTATCAGAATCAAGACTTAATGGTAAAATTAAAGGAAATGAAGCCTGTTCTCTCGATTGCCCAGCATGCACATAGTCCCAGTCTTTCTTCTACTCATAATGACACTTAACTGGGTCTTAAAATGTGGTTTTTCTAAGAAGAAACTTTATGTTTTTAGAGTGCTTTTTCAAAAACATGACTTCCTCTAGTACCACTGTTCTTCCAACCTGAAAGTTTTTACTGCCAATTTTTCTTGTATGTACATCATCTTCAGTGGCTTTTTTTCTCTTTTTAAAGAGAGTTTATATTGACCCAGCTACCCTCACTCCCTCCCCACATAGCATAAAATGTCAACAGCAGGCTGGGTGCTACAGCCTCAGAAAAGACGGGAACAACCAGTCCCACAAAGGGACCAAACTCACAACTGTGTAAAGAAGTATTAAGGTAAGCACTCATATCCAGCGCTGTTACACTGCAAGGAACATATTGTTTATTAGTCTTCTATATGCCTTTAAAGCACTGACTTTGTTTCTACAAGACAAAAGTAGTTTAAAAATAGTCATGACACATTGTTAAAATAAATAATAGAAATAATCTCCTTTTAATTTTACCTGAAATTTTAATGTTTCCTATAAAACTGTTTACTTGATTTAAAAAAATGGTAACTTAGAACCACTTGTATCATTCCCTCAATTGTACCCAGGTTACTGAAGATGTTATACACCCTAAAATACCATGTTTCACATCATACCCCCACTCCCAAACCAGTGAAAGGATGAGAGAGTGATTCCAATTAAACACAACTTAGGAGTGATTTGTGTTCAGAAATCAACGTGTTCATATAGATACCTGGGGATTTTCAGTCAAAGACAGAGGCAAGCCAGTGCGTTCCAGCTCTGACATTCAAAGACTCTCCGAAGAATACTAAACAAAACCAAGCATGATATTTTAGATATACTTCCTAACCACTGATGTTTATAAATAACAACTTGAAATTCAGCTCTGGTTTACATCTCTTTAAAAAAAAAAACTTGCTCTAAATTTATTTGTACTCTGTCAATTGTGTGAATAAAATAAGATCTGAGAAACTCTCCCAAAGAAAATGTTTTTGCTAGAAACCCTGTCCTGCTACCTTCTGAGCTTCTTGAAAATGAAAATCTCTGCATCTTCCAGATGACAGACACCTTTTCGGTGGAACCAAAATAGTTCTCTCAGGTAGAAAGCTGTCTGTCAGTCAAGGATTCTGACAGATAGCAGATCTGGCATGCAGGAGGAAGGCAAGAAGCAGTCCCGTGGTGGGAAGCTCAGCAACTAGCTAAGGAGCAAGACAAGGAGGGGCAACCTGGAAAACAGTTCACTGCTAGACACCTGATCCAGCACGAGGAAACCAATGGGCACTTCTGGAAATGACAGGTAACCTAGAGGGAGAAGGGAGCCACTAACTCTTGTGGGATTTTGAAAGGGCTGTGCAGTTTGTGAAAGGAATCAAATACACTCGCATGCATAGGAGTTTCTCTCCCTCTAGCGGTGGGGTGGGAGCCTTTGAAGGGATACACTGTCCCTGCATTATACTGCTTCATAAACACAGATGAGTTTCCATTAGAGTACACCGTGCACATAAAATTAGGATTTTCATTAGGTGTGCTGCTGTCTCTTATGGGGGTTTTCAAAAACACCCCCAACTCTTCTTGTTAGGGAGGGAATTGCCTCCTAAGTATGCTGATTACCAGCGGTAAGGTAGCAAGGCACTCCCTTTCCTTTTGGCTGAAGGGCGGCCATGCTCACTTCTGAGATGCAGGATTTCCCTCTCCTCTAATGTCCTTTTAGAGGTGGAATGCTCCTAAGCCCAAGTCTGGGCCAGAAAAATCTAAGGAGCTAAATGAGAAAGAGAAAGCAAGCTGACCTAGAGTAAAGGTGGGAAATATGGACGCTTAAAGGAGAGAAACTGTGGAAGGATCTAAAGAGTGAACTGAGCATGATAGAAAAGGCAATAGAGATCAATTATGAGAGAACAAATCTCCACCTCTACCTTGCAGTCCCTGCCATTTCTCTCATTTTCAGTCTTGGTCATGTGAAAATACTTCTGGTATAGCAATTGGGATCAATGATAGAGGGTGAGAAAATCAAATGGATGGGAAAGTAAATAGTGGCAATTTTAAGGACAGTAACTAAAACTGGCTCCATGAAGAAAGTAAAGAACATAGTATCATAACTGTATAGGAGTATTAATGTGAATAATTGTAGGTTGACTGTCTAATTAATTGGTTTTTTCATTGATCAATAACTGGAAATCAGTGTGAAGTATGCAGACTGTGCAGTTTTCCCCCCTGCTCCATACTGTTAGGTATCAAAGATGCCTACTTGACTTCTCCTCCTGTATGTCTCCAAGGCAACCAAACTCATATTTTTCTGCAAACACTTTTCTTTTCTAGTGTCCTTATTTCAGTGAACAACTCCATCACTCATCCACTGTTACAAGCCAGGTATCTAGGAGTTACTTGACCCCACCTAGCCTTCCACCATTATATCCAATCTGTCACCAAGTCCTTCGATCTTACTAAGGCTGTCTCACATAGGTCAATTTCTCTTCGCTTCCATCACCATACTTTTTCATCGTCTCCCTACTAAGCAAAGGGCATCCGCTTTATCCTTTGTCGAAGGCATTCTCCACACTGCACTACTTCATCCCACAAATATTTGTGAGGGGCCTGCTTTGTACTCTGGTAACACTGGGTTGAATAAGACAAATTCTCCATAAACATCGGGTGTTCATAAATACTATGTGGAGAACTAAAATAAGGTAACATACTAAAGAATGGCTGAATGGCTATTCTGAATTGTACGTCCAAATGCAAGAAATAAGTTGTAGTTTCAACAAGGGAGGGGTGTGAGCTTGCAAGCAGAAAATAAAGGAAGTTGGCTGGGATGATGGTATCAGCTATCAATGCTTCCTAGCCTGTAAGAAGACTGTTCCAAATGCCGGCCAAGAGCAAAAAGAATACAGGCATACCCCGGGGACATTGCAGGTTCGATTCCAGACCACCACAATAAAGGGAGTACAGGAGTACTTCAGAAATATTGTGGGTTTGAGTTCCAGACCACCATAATGAAGTGGAGTATCCCAGTGGGCCGCCATCATTTTGCTCTTGGAGGGGCTTCACTCCCGGTTATAAAAAATGCAACACTTGTGAAGTGCAAGGGAACAAAGTGCAATAAAATGAGTTATGCTTCTAAGTGAAATGCACCAGCAGGTTCAATTTTGGTCTGTCTCCAAGCACCTTTCCTTAAATATAGCACTTAACCCGTGCATGAAAGTATCCCATTTTTGTTCTTTTCTTTGTCTCCTCTCCCAAGTGTATAACTCACTGCTGCATCCCCAGTGCTTAAAAACTGTGCCTGGCATACAATGGACATGCAAATGAGTATTTGTTTCATTAATGAACAAATAGGTGTGAGAAGGGGGGCAGAGAAAATAACTGGGCGAGTCTGGGGGTTCAAGAAGTCTCCAAGACATGTCAAGGACACTAACTTAATCTCGATAGAGCAATTCAGTGTCTAAGATCCCAGCCAGGTTTCTCAGCTTTGGATCCCCTCGCTCAAACTCATACACATGCTCAGAGTCACAAAACTCTCCTAACCCCAGCTAGGAGGAGTCACCCTTTCCGACCCGGAAACCCTCATACGCTCTCCTCTATTTCTCCTTCCCTCCCCTCTTCGCCAGGGTTCCGGCAGCCTTCTATTCGCAGGGCTCACCGGGAATAGAAGTCTTCCGGTCAGAGACTATAGAGTTTTACACTTTTGGAGAACTACGCTTCCCAGAGACCCTCGCGGCGGAGGGAGGCTGTATCACCTGACCAGGACGTCGGAGGAGCAATGGCGGCGCCCATGCTACGGCAGTGCTGCCTTGGAAGGCTTTGGGCTTTAACCTGCATTGTCCGCGGTTCTCGCCACGGGAGAGGGGCTCCAAGAGGGTCCAGGTGCAGCGGGAAAAGGGGGCAGAGTTCAGTGGCTCTGCAGCACCTCACCACGGCCCAGAAGCCGAGAAAAGGGTATACTATTTCATCCCATACTGCCCACTTCAGTGTGAGATGGACCTGCGGGGCTGGGGAGATGATGGCCGCTCAGCCCAGCGTTCAGTGTAGATGATTTTGGGTTTGTTTTTGGTTTGTTTTTTTTTTAAAGTTTTGAGCGGGAAGGTGTTGGGCTGTAAGTTGGAGCCCTGAAAGCACAAAACTTGCCACTTGTTAGCCTCGCCTCCACACAGAAACCGTTCTCCAATAGATTCGCAGGTGTAAAATCGCACCAGGTGTTTTCTTGACAAACACAACACAGAACGCTGGTTTCAGTCACTTTGCTAATAACACCAGCAGTGGGGTCTGTGACACTAGAAGCGGGACCGTATTTAGCTGACATTTAGCGCTACGCTAGGCCAGCGGTGTTCTAAAGGTAGAAAGGGAGCCTTTACCTACAAGCTCTGGAGAGTGGTGGCTTAATGTCGTTAGTCAGAAAGCACCACCTATCTGTGGAGGCGTTTCGTGTTGAACATATATGTCTAGACCTGAGAGTATGCAGCCAATACAAGAAATCTTTCCTCTGGTTGTGCAGAGAGCTTTGTTCATTTTGCTACCTATCCTCTGAACAGCTAGCTAGCTGTTTATACTTCACTATAGAAGACAGTTTCTTTTTAAATACGTAAATGAAAGGCACCTGTCTAATGTTCTATGAATCCTTTGAGATAGTTAGGTTGGTATTACTTTTGTTTTTCAGTTGGAGGAACAGAGGGAAAGTGTCCAGAAGCATTCAGTTTCTATACTTTTCATAAGTTAGATCATCTCTCTGTGAATGCAATGTATTTTTTTCCTCCCATGTAATGAAACTACAAAAATACTTTGAATAATGTTTTAGTGACATGCAGAATTTTTAACAAAGTCTTTGTTTAATTCTTCCAATTACATGCTGTAAAAAAAAAAAAAAAAGCGGATTAATCTCACAATACTATCGATATAGAACTTTATATGTTGAAATGATTGAATCAAAATCCAATACATGTAAACAAAAATCTAGGTAATACAGAAAATTGCTTGGGAGAAGAGCAGGGTAGGAACAGACAAAATTTGGGGAGAGTATGTATGAACAGGCTATCTGCAAATTGTCCAGGATACGTGGGTTTCAGAGGGACCAGTATGTGGAATGCTCATAGAGACCCAACAGAGGAGTGACCAGATAAGAAAAATTGGAGCATTTAACAGCTTCTTGATAGCGAATCAAGCATATACAAACCAGCAAAGGAACCTGAAACCAGATCTTGGGAACAGAAAGTGATTTGGTTACCAGAAAATGCCAAATCTGATGGTTTAATGTTCCTTTGCACAAAATTTCCAGGAGAGTATCATTTCCAGGAGAGTAGTGATTGATTATATTCATGTCACTCTGATCATTTCACTTGCATGTCATTGTTATAAAATGAACTTGAAACATAACTGAGAATTTCTTTTTAAAATAATGAGATGTGCAACTATGTACTATTATTTCTCTGGTAGTAGAATTCTGATGTCTGTTAATTTAAAAAAGTTTGCAAGTTCAGCTTTCTTCATTTGCTGAGTAATTAATTGATAACAGACAGTTAATTTAGAAAAGGCTGCTTTTCACCGAAGTCAGCCAAACAGTGCTGCTACCTGATAACCCATTTCTAAATTGTTTTAAGATGTCTAATTTTTCCTTTTTCTATCACCTTATCATTTGTATAGTGAACTCTATGCCCCATTGTAAATGGATTTTATTTTGCCAGTCTTGTAGGGGTTCAGTATGAATTGCCTTTGATTTAGTCACTAAGACAAGATGATACACTTTTCAATGTAAGGAGATAAAATTTTAATAAATTAAAAACAAATAGGAAATTAACATTAGTGGTTTAGGCTTATAGAAATTTATGTATGGTAACAGATCTAACTATTTCTTAACCCTTATATCTTTCTCCCTAGTGAACATGAATGGGCAGCTGTGGTAGGTTTGGAAATTCATGCCCAGATTTCCTCAAACTCTAAACTCTTCTCTGGATCTCAAGTCCTCTTTGCAGCACCTCCAAATTCTTTGGTATCTTTTTTCGATGCATCTCTGCCTGGAACTCTGCCGGTAAGGTTTTTATTTAATCCTCTTTACATTAATAAATCTCTCCTGTCTATTTGAAAATGTTTATGTTTTATTTAACATAGATAATGATTTCTTTGTTTTAATATTTTGGCATAGCTCTTAGGAAATACTTGTTTGGGGAATTTTGGATGAAGTAGGATGGACTAAATGTTTTCTAAAGACCCATCTCTAGAATTCTATTTTTAAGTCTAAGTATCATGTGTTTATTCATATATTTATTCACTCATTTCACACACATTTTAGAATATCTACTAAATATCAGCTATAAACTGGAAAATAAAAATGAGCAATGATCCTTGCCTTTGAGATCAAAGACTGTTTGGGGAGGTGTTTCATACCATGCACCGAAAGGTTACTGTCAGTTCCTGGTCAGGGCACATGCTAGGTTTTGGATTCAGTCCCCAGCTGGGGCGTGTATGGGAACCAGCTGATCGATGTTTCTCTCTCTTTCCCTTCCTCTTTCTCTCTAATATCAGTGGAAACATGTCCTCGCATGAGGATTAAAAATTAAAAAGAAGAATAAACTTGGCTTTAAAGGAAAAGAGAATACAGTAGGTAAAAGGAGACATGCATTCACGGGAAATTTTTTTATTAGTCCTAATTTCCTTCATATCGAAGAGGCTTGAGAATATTTAAATGCTGCTTAGTTATAGTCAACGGTAATGTATTGAACACTTAAAAATGTGTTTTAAGAGGGTAGATCTTATGTTGCATGTTCTTACTGCAGTAATTTTATTAAAATCCTGATGAGTAGGAGCCAATGAAGAAAGGGCATTTAAAGAGGCATTTGATACGGCAAATCAAACATGTACATTTATTCTGTCTCCTCACCCCAGAGAAATCCTACTGAAATAATGGTAAAAATTTAAAAGTTAAAAACCTCCAAGAGACTATGAGAGAAGACCAGAGTGCATGAGAGATGGTAGATGAAGGAGGACCTGACTTAGCAGAGCAGGGTTCACTACAACCCAAGGAGAGGGACATAAAGCCCTCAGAAAGAGACGCTGGTGAGAAGTGAGATGCTGCGCCTTATGCAGCCTCAGAAAGGATGTGAGCTTCAGGCATTGTGGAAAGCCAGAGGGATGGAAAAACAAAGCGGTAAATTCAGTCTGGATACAGAGCAGTTAGACCTAAGGTCTCTCCCTGGCCCTTTGCAGCTGTACCACCCCCACAGGAGTCTGTAGTTTTGGGAGAAGTTCAACTGGTGAAACAGTCCTCCTGAAGACCCCAGGCAGAGCAAGAGGCACTGGTGTCAGACAGTTTCTGCACTCTGAACTCTGGGGCCTACTCAGTCCTCCACCCTGCCCAGTATGAGGAGCTCAGGTGACCTGACACAGCCATCTCTCCTCCTCCCCTCCTCACCCAAGCGGGAATCTGCAGGAACTCGTTTGAAAATCAGGTGTCTCTAGAGGAAAGAATTGGGAGTTGGGGTTGAGGTCGCTCAGTAACAAAGTTACCTGCTCACCCCACTGTCCTGGAATGAAGATCACCAGACAGCAGGCCCTGAACATTAACATAGAACTTTTAATCAACATTTTAGGACCTTTAAAACATAAATTGACAGCCAAAAATCACCAGATATTTGAGGAAATTCTCCAACAAAATGGACAAAGCCAAAATTAAAAGGAAAACTAAAATAAGAGGCAACAGATAAGGAACAAGGTAAAAGAACACTTTAAACTTTTACAAATATCCTCAAGATAAGAGAAGGTAACTGCATCTTTGAAATAAGAACATGATGCTACTTTTTAAAAATGAACAGTCAGTAAAAATGATCTCTTAGTTGAAGTTATGATGGACCCCCAAACCCAAAGTTAGAAGATGAATCAAGAAAGTCTTCCAGAAAGCAAAACACATATACAAAGAATTGAACAGTAGGGGAAAAAGAACATGAGATCAATCCAGCATGTCCAACATTAATAGGAGTTCAGAAGAGACAAGATAGACATGAGGAAACTATCAAACAGTAATACAGAGTAATTTCCCAGAACTGAAGGACACACATCTCCAAACGGAAAGGGCCTGCCAACAACCCAGAGCTAGGAGTAAAAATAGTCTCCCAGGCTGGCACGTCATCATGAAGTGTAGGAATGCCAGGGATAAAGATACTAGAACTTACAGAGAAGTGAAGGGTCACATACAAAGGATGAGGAATCAGGCATTGGACTTAAAATCAGCACTTAATGCTAGAAGAAAATGGAGCAGGGCCTTAAAAAATCTTAGGAAAAAATTATTCAAATCTAGAATTCTGTACCCAGCACTATAAATCAAATGTTGACAGTAAAATAATGATATTTTCAGATAAGCATGTTCTCAAAAAAAATTCCCGTTATCATGGGAACTTGCTGGAGCAATGGAGAGGATCCAGACTGTTAGCTCTGCAGCAGGCCCCGAGGGCCTGATGGGAGAGGAGGATGGAAGACTCCAGAACAGGGAGGTTTCAAGAAGAAAGGGCGGCGGGGTGGGAACAGAAGATTTCTAATGTTTGTATATAAAAGAGATTTTACATATAAACTGGAGTCTCTGAGAATAATAAGCAATAAATAATAAAAAGTGAAGCAAATGAAAGAGACCTGTTAGCTCCAGGTAAAACTAAACATTCAAGGAAGGAAACATAGGCAGAGTATACTTACCAGCTCAGCAGAGAAACATATTTACCTAATAATAATAGAAGAAGCACCAACTACTGATTTAACAAAAACTGTGATATAACTGGGATATTGGGAAATAAAAGAACTAAATTCTTATCCACTGTAACTAGAAGTCATGTTCTACATTGATAAAGTAAGAAGAAAGTAACGTAACATTTTTGGCTGCAGATGAGGGGAGGCCTCTTTCTTCCTTTTTGATCCTAAGTTGGTCAGTTGTTTTTTGGCTAGTAAATATTTCTTTTTACTTAAAAAAAAAAGGCAATGAGTGGAAGATTTAGAACTCTCAAGCATCAAAACTGTTTTCAGCAAAGTTTTTAACATTTTATGTAAAGATAATATTAATGATTAAATATTACCTCTGCTGGTTCCTCAGCCTTCCGCTGGTGGCATTTTTATTTTTTCTTCCAAACAGTGGCAGGCTCACCTTTCTGATTCCTGTAACACCCCTGTAGACTGCCCTTGGGAGGAGTATGCTCATCCACATTCTAGATCATTCACGCTCAAGCTCACGCATGTGGTGGGTTTCCCTTTTTCCCCTGAGGGTGAAGTGACCGACCTGCCTACCAACCTGGCTGTTTGGACTTCAGTGTAACCCAGCTTACCTTGGAGTTGCTCTTAGGAGCGGCGTATTTTGTTCTTACATAGAAATGCAGTCAAGTAGCAAGCATGGGTAAATTATTATGAGGCAGAGTAAGATATGAAAGTATTGCAAAGTATCTCGCCTTGTAACTTACTTAAATGATCTCTTAGGAATGGAATGGGCCGAGTCTGGTGGCTCCATGTTCGAAAAACCAGAACGCTGTCATTGGGACAGTGTATCCAGTCCACGTTTTTCCCAGATTAAGGAAGGATTGTCACAATGCACATGGCCGCGAGCCTTGGCAAGAAGGTGATGGATTTTCCAAAAGTCCCTGGCACAGCATTTTTTTTTTTTAAATAGGGAAATAGACACCAGACAAGACAGCTCAAAGCTCTGAGGGGGGCTGTGCCAGGAAACAGGATGGCAAGGGAGGGCGGTGGGGACGCCTGCCTTTCGTTAGGGATTATTTCAAGATCCATGTCTGCAATATTTGGTTCACCAACTAAACATTAGCTTTAAGGGAGTACCATCGGGGGAGGAGATTATTAATAGAATCAGTTCCTGAGAAATCAGAGGGTGTCCCCAGAGAAGAGGGAGATAGATGGCTCTCCCACGTCAGCCCCAGGGAAGACCTGCCCCTTTGCGCCAGTAGAGGCAACTTTTTAGGTTGGGTTGTGGAAGTTCAAGGAAACTCCCATCGAATTTCCTCCCTTTCTGGCAACTCTGTTTCTTACATCTCGCTCCCCTTTTTGGCTCTCTTTCCCACCAGTGTTAGTATCTCTCGCTTCTGGGTCTGTGGATGGTACACTTGCTCTTTTTTGTGGTGGGGGGGGCCTCCAATGTTTCCGTTTCTCCCTAGCTCTCGAGTGATAGTATAGAATTCTAATTTAGCAGTTATTTCCCCGTAGTACTTGAGGGACATGATTCCATTGTCCTCAGGCATCTGTTACTGCTCATGAGACACATGCACGCTTTGTAGGTAACCTGTTTATTCTCTCTGATCGTTTTATCCAGGATATGTCCGGGTGTGGATTTGTTTTTATTTCTTCTGCTCAGTATTCTGTGTGATTCTGCCCCTTGAAGACTCTGCTCTGGACTGTGGAGGTGGCTCTGTGGGATGAATTGATGGTGGCCTCTACCAGGGCCCCCTTGGCTTTCTTGAACTAGCAGGTTCTATGTTAATTTCTTTGTCCCCAACTGTCACACAGTTTGGATAGTGCCAATGTTCAAGCTCCGCACCCCAGCCAGGGCCCGGTCCAGGGACTCTGATTTCTCAAGACTCTTTTCATCCATGTCTTGAGTCAGGCGGCCTTTTCCATATCAGCCGCTCCAGTTGGTGGCGGATTCTGTGATTGTACCAGGAGTCTGTGGCTCCCACACATCACAGTGGGCTCACAGCCTTGACTTCTTTTCCCAAGGTGCTTTAAATTGCCAGCATCTGGCATCTCTTCAGCCTAGTAAACAATAATGAAAGCAATAAAATCAACTAATATTTACTGAGTGCTTGTTACATGCGAGGCCACTGTACAGGTGCTTTTTATATGTGCTAACTTACTTTAACCTCGTAACAGTTCTGTGAGGTGCAGTTCCTATCATTATCCCAGGTAGAAACTGGAGAAGCCAGAGCAAGTCCAGTGCGGGCATGCTTCGTTTTGCTGTTTCATTTTTTTAAGCTGTACAGATGGGGTTCTTTGTTTGTTTTGTTTTTTGTTTTTATAAACTGAAGGCAAGATCCTCCACCAGCATAAAGT